GAGGAAGGAAGGAAGAGAGGGAGGGAAGGAGGAGGGGAGGGAGGGAGGAAGGAAGGAAGGAAGAGAGGGAGGGAAGGAGATGGGGAGGGAGGGAGGGAGGAAGGAAGGAAGGAAGGAAGGAGATGGGAAGGAAGGAAGGAAGGAAGGAAGGAAGGAAGGAAGAGAGGGAGGGAGGGAGGAAGGAATGTGAACTGTCTATAGTCCTGAAGAGCCTCTCCCGGTTCCCTTCCCGAGTGAGTGAGCCCAGCGGAGGAGTGCTAAGCAGTGCTGAGTGTCTGTGACAGATGGGAATTCATGCAGACGAGGGCAATAAAAGATGCTTGGAAGGCGTTGGCCTTGCCCCCTTTTTGACGAGGCTGCACTGTCTCCTCCCCCTGCCCCTGGGACGCCGGGATGGTAATTTCTTCAGCTAATTTCCATGGGCTACACAAGCTGGGGCCTGCTTTGGGGTGGAGAAGGCGTTTCCTTCTCCCTTGGCTCTGGGGCTGGGTTTGGCCCATGGAGCTTGCCAGGAAAATTCAGTTGAAGGCTGCAAAGTTCTACAGTCACCTGGGTCCAGCCACCACTCCTTGATGGGCTGGGATGCTCAAGGGGAGCTTGGCACTGATCTAACTGCTAGGAAAACTCCCCTGACCTGCTGGCCCCACTAGGGTAACGTTGCTGCCTTGGGACCCCAGCCCCGCCAAGTTCTGCTCTAGACCCCGAGGCGCCCCTCCCCTGGTGTAGATGGCAGCAAATTCCTCTCTCTAGCCTCTGGGCTCCCTGACAGCGGGCGCTAGCCCTTGGCCTGGATAGGGGAAGTGGGTCCATCCCAGGACCTTGCCTTGCTGCCAGCCCGAACACGGACTCCGCCATTAGGAGCCGCCTGGGGAACCAAGTGGGGGGAGGGGTGGGGGCAGGACAGCCACAGTCCTGCTGTAGCTGCTGTCTGGGAGCCAGCACTGCCCGAGTGCAGCCTGCTGTGTGGCCACACGGTGGTGCTCCCTGCACACGCGGCTCATGCTGGGGAGGCGAAGGGAGTAGGGGAGGCAGGGGCGCTGCTGAGCCGGGTCGGGGCTTAGAGCGGATCACCAGTCCCACAGGGGCCACAATGCACAAAGGCCTGCCCTGAACTAGGGCGGAAGCTGGCTGAGCCCCCACTCCCTGCCCGTGTGGCTCAAGCCCTGAGGGAGTTCAGCTTCTATGGACACTCACTCCTGGCCTCCCGAGGGGGGCTGACCCCCAGGGCCCAGGGCCAGGCCAGCTCCCGTGAGTTCTAGCGGGGAGCAGGCCTGTGGCTCCTCCTTGTAGAAAAGGCAGGTGGCGTGTGCCCTGCTCCCCCAAACGGCCACGGCAGGAGTTGCGCTTGGAGGGGAGCTCGATCCGAGAACAAAGTGCTGGATTAGCGCACCCCAGCCGGCCTCAGCCCCCCCACCCCAACCAAGGCCCCTTGGGCCAGGCGCTTTGGGGAAGAGCTGCACGCTGGGAGCCACTGGCCAGGCCCACCCCGCCAGCCTGAGAACCCAGCTACTGACTGCAAACCCACTGCCCTCAGGCCTCCAGCTGCACTGACTCACTGCCCCAAACCCTGCTCATTTAGGAGTCCTGCTGTGCACAGAAACATTCAGTAACACGTCACAGCCCCTCCCTGTGAGCCAGGCATCACCAAGGGCAGCCAATGGGCAGCAGAGATCCCTGGAGATCCCTGCAGCACAGACACCAGGGCTGGCTCTGCTCCCTGCGCCTGCCCCTCTTTAGCTCCCCAGCCCGCCCCCAGCAATGCCTTCTACTGACGGAAGAGAAAGGCTGGGCCATTGAGTGACTTGCCTCAGGTCAGACAGGGTGCCTGAGGCCCTGCTAGCACCAGAACACTGGTACCCGGGCTTGCAGAGCCCCCAGAGGGGGTTACTTAACTCTCACTTCAGCCCCTGTCAAGAACAAATCACAGCAATTCCATCTGATGGATGCCAGGAGGCGTGGTCTGCTCTCACACTGCAGTTTATTAGAGCCCCCATAGATCCAAGCAATAGGTTCTGATTAGAACATCCTAGATATTGACCTCACGACTGGCATGTATGGAGGAGCTCACAGCAGAGCTAACCTTTTCAAGCACGAGATCACGTTTTGAATGTAAGTGCAATCCAAGATCTATCGCAGACCCACGGCACCAGCTGGGCCCTGCTTACCTCAGGTGGGTCCTGGGTGGTGGAGCAGTGGGGCTAAGGTTGGCAACCACTGATCTAGACTCAAGGATTCCAGCCACCTACTTGCTTTCACAGAATTGGAGCTGGTGCCCCAGGCCCTGCACTTTTGGGGCTTCCCCAGCTGTTCTGTGGAGGGGAGGGTCCAGCGAATTACAGGGGCCTGGCATGGGGTGGCAACAGCGTTTGCTTCCCCCCTTTGTCCCCACTCACCACACGGGCGGCAGGAGCAGGAGTGGCCGGGCAGCTTGCTCCTCTCTGCCCCGCTGCCCTCTCCTGGCCCACTGTGTGTGGCTTCTCAGCAGCAGTGGGAAGCCGAGCACCCAGCAAAGAGGTGGGTGAGGGGGCGGGGGCAGAGCAGAGGCAGAGCTTGGGGGAGGAGTGGAGAGGGGGCAGGGAGGGGTAGGGCCTGCAGCAAGGGGGGGGGGCAGTTCCACAGCCCTTGCCTCTGGGGCACTGGAGGGGATTGCCTCAGGCCCTGCCCACCCCCCCCCACCCCCCCACACACCACCC